CTTATGTGCTTTTTGGGTCCCTAATCTAAGTGATAATTTTCGACCGTCCTGAAGAAACGGACGCTTGGCTGAAGATGCATGATTGCGATGGTGACTCCTGCGATGGTCGTGCTTGTATTGTGACTTCCTTTGCCCTGGTTTTCATAAGTCCACAAACCTCCTACAGTATAGACCAGGGCCCAAGCCCACAACCCTAAACCCCAAACCCTAAACTCTAAACCCTAAACCCCAAACCCTAAACCCCAAACCGTAAACCCAAAGCGGCCTCGTCTTTTTCTGGCTCGCCTTCTCCCCCGGCATCTCCGCCCCCTTTGCCTGCGCCAGGATGCAAGGCAGCTGCACAGTGTCTCGGGGCTTAGAGTTGGGCCATAGGGCTTCGGGTCTCAGGGTTTAGGGTTTAGGGCTTCGGGTCTCAGGGTTTATGGTTTAGGGTTTCGGGATGAGGGTTTAGGGGTTTAGGGTTTAAACTTTAGGGAATCAAGGTTTTTTTTAATGCAATAGCTCCCGGATTCAGGGCTTAGGGTTTAGGGCTTAGGGTTTGGAGTTTAGGGTTTAAGGAGCTTGGTCAGCCGATTCGGCGCCAGTTGAGGAACATGGTGAGTCTACCGTCAGGCGCTGTCTGCTTCGTGGCACCAACCAGAGGCACCATGGAGATCGCAGCTTTTGGATAACTTCAACGACTCGACACCTCCGATAAAGTAGTTAGTCACATCTAGTCAGTCTGAATCTGTATGATGGCCAGTAGACTTCATCATCATACCGGAACCTACAAAGTTTGGGTCCATGCGAGCCGTTTGGCACATACCAAACGGCTGACTCGAAACATCATTCTAAGATTGAAACCATGGGCCCCTAGTATGGGCCCTTAACCCTGGGATCCTTATACACCTACTATATATACACTATATGTACCCCTAAGGGTCCCTAGAAAGGCCTAATGGGTCCATATTAGGGGCCCATATTTCTAACCTTAAACCCTAAACCCCTATACCCCTAAACCCTAAACCCTAAACCCCTAAACCCTAAACCCTAATTAACACCTTCAGGCTTTTCGGGTGCAGGTTTTGAATGAACGCTTCTGCTGTAACAGATTGGCAGCTGTGGCAGGTCCTTCAGTGCCAGCCATTGCCTGACAATGGCTGCCTATGGCTGCCTGACTGAGCCATTCGTTCAAAGGAGCTCACCGCACTTTGGCGCAGATTTCTCGCATTACCACCCGGCAAGCCGAACTCTCTGTTGGCAGCTGTTTAAAGCTGCCTTCTGATGGACAATGTCTTCAATGCTGACGAAGGCAAGGGTGCCCTGTAAGGAGTCTAGACAAAGTCCTATACCCCAGCCCTTTAATCGGAATCCCTTAAACAAGGTACTTTATCCAATCCGCCTATGCTTTGCAAAGGGGAACATCTGCAAAGGCAACTTTGGCGGCGGCAGCGGCGGCTGCTCCCTGCTAGGATTTAAGGCTTTAGGGGTTCGGGGCCATCATGATTGGAACAAAATTTGGTGGGTTTTTGATAGTAGCAGAAGTATATCGGGACCATAACACGCAATTCTCTTGCTAAGGTTTGCTAACTGTTCAGACCTGTGTATGATTATGATCATCATCATCGCTATCATGGTAGACTGACAAATGAGGAACCCCAAAAAGGCATTCAACGCGATGATGAACGTACCCCTAATTTTCACACATGCGTTTGGAGGGCAACCGCTGGGATTGGTGCAGACTAAGGAAATGCTGCGCGCTCTATGGAAGTGAACACTGCTTGATTGAAAGAGGTGTTCTTGATTAGCTAGTGTCACCAGTGCAACAGTGACAAAGCCTTCAGCCGTGAAATGTCATTGCTACCTAGGTTTAGAAGCATGCCAGGTACTAGGGCGCGGCATCCAAGCCCAGCTGTGGTGATCCTGTTCAAAGGGACCGCCTCTGGTCTTGATTTCTGTACAAGTATCACTGAGCCTCATGGGCTGCCTCCCTCCAGCCTCTGCCCAGGTCGTCTCGCAGAATTGCAGGTGTGGCGTGCCGTCGTTCCAGAAGAAGACCACATGATGCTAGCGCAGAGTGACAGAAACCCTAACTCCTGAACCCTGATCATGAACCCTAAAACCTAAAGTAGGTAGCGTAGGAGCACCGCAGATGTCCCAAGAGCCCCAAATGCGTAGCAACGATTTCGGGAGGTACGGCTGATGGACAAAATGCTGCATGACTTAATATACCTAAACTATAAGATTTATGGTACTCTACTATATTTGGGCCATGCAGCATTTTGTCCATCAACAGTATAAATGGAAGCCTCTACCACCATAAGCCCTAAACGACATGTTTCCTCTGGCAAAACTTGAGAAGAATATCATGTAATCGCTCAGATTTGGGAGTTTCAGAAAATTAGGGGTACCTTATTTTGGGGTCCTTATAATAAGGATCCTATTATTTAGGGTACCATATTAGGGTCCCCAATTTTGGGAAACCCCCATTTATACCATGAGCATCATAAGCTGCAAGCTTAAACCCAAGGCTCTAAAGCCATAAACAAGAAAACCCTACAACCCTAACCCCTAAATTTCCGTAGGTCCTGCAACACGCTTGCCACTAAAGAGAACCCTGGCATAACACCCCTTCTCGAGCCTTTGCAGAACCCTTTATCCCTAAACCCTTTATCCCTAAACCCTTTTATCCCTAAACCCTTTATCCCTAAGCCCTTGATTAACCCCTATAAACCATTGATCCCTAAACCCTTTATCCCTAAACCCCTAAAGACTAAACTCCTAAATCCTACCCCCTAAACCCCTAAACCCTAAACCCCAAACCCTGAACCCTAAACCCTAAACCCTAAACCCCTAAACCCGAAACCCCCAAAACCCTAAACTTGGGACAGGCTGAAGGTTGAGGCACTGGTGTACAAGATGGGAAAACTCGCTTCAGCAGCCCAGAGGCGGATCAGCTCTTTCCGGTTCCCCTGTAGTACCCGGGTTTTAGGGTTTAGGGTTTAGGGTTTTAGGGTTTTAGGGTTTAGGGTTTAGGGTCTAGGGTTTAGGGTTGTAGGGTTGTAGCAGTACCCTTTCCTCCATTTATCCAGTTTTGAGAAGGAGGCCGTACAACAATGGCAAAAGGGTACTACCGGGGAACCCGTCTTAAACAGTTCAGAGAGTCCAGGTAGGGCTTTACGGTTTTACTTTAAGGGTTTAAATTGGGGGGCGTGGAGTGCAGCGGTTTAGCGGTTCAGGGGTCTGGTAGTTGAGGGGCGTCTGGTTTAGAGTTGTAGGGACTCACAGCTTCATTCTAAGGGCTTTAGGAGGGACCGTGATAGGGACCCTTGTAGGTTATTGGGGTTAATGTGGGGACTACCTGGCTATATAAGGGGTATATAAGGACCATACAACGGTTATTTAAGATAATGGGATTAAGGGTCCCTATTAGGGCTCCCTCCTAACGTCCTTAGATTCTAGGGTTTAGGGTTTAGGGCTTAGGGTTTAGGGTGTACCAAACTTCACACACACACACACACAGGTCCCAACGAAACTAACTCTCCGCATCAAACACTAAGCCTGAAATGGGGCTTGGGGACATTTTCTTGGACTCCTTCGGCCCTACACGAAAACATAATGCCGCTGCGATGGGCTTTTGGTGCAGACCCTTAAACTGTAAACACCTAAACCCTAAACCCTAAACCCTAAACCCTAAACCCTAAACCCTAAACCCTAAACCCTAAACCCTAACTTACACCCCTAAACCCGAAGCCGATCCCACACAATGTAGTGGCCGTGATAATTAGAATAGGATTTTTGGGCCCATTATACCATACTTATAATAAGGAACCACCCCAAAATACTATACGTAATTATTGAGGCATTATGATGGCCCTAAATATAAGCGGTTTATCGAATCACTCTGGACCCTGCCAGAACCTTTGAAGAAGCATTAACAAACCTGAGCAGAACCCTTCTAGAACTCTTGTAGATCCCTTGTAGAACCTCTCTAGAACCCCTCAAGAGCCCTTGCAGAGAAGCTGTGCAAAAGCCACAAAACTAGATGATGGAATTAGATGGCCTAAAACGGCCCTTATGGGGTTTAGGGTCTAGGGCTCATAGAACCCCGAAACCTATCATCACAAGGACCTGCACCTCTGCTTCCCATCCGCAGTGTGGGAGAGTTGGCTAAAGTTTCACGAGCTGAGCATGCGTAGGGTTTCGGTCTTCAGGGTTCAGAGTTTATAGGACGGGCATTTGGGTCTTAGGGCCTTTGGAGTTCAGGAAAGAGGGTTGTGGGGTTTAGGGTCGAGGTCTTCCGGTGCGGGGTGGAGAACCTAAACCCTAAACCCTAAACCCCACCCCCTAAACCCTAAACCCCCTAAACCGATCTTAGACATTTGTGAACGCCTGCTGGCACGCAAGATTGTGGCCTCCTTGTTTTGAGAGCACTATGATTAGGAACCTGCAAACTCCAAGAAGATGACAAGGCCGAGAGGCAACCAAAATATCAAAATATGGTCGGTTTAGGGTTTAGGGTTTAGGGTTTAGTAATACTACCAGTCAGGGTCTAGGTCTAAATCCCAAAGTGCCTTATGGCGGTTGATAGGGTTCAAAGCTCTTAACTAAGGAATGAACTTGACATCATACTTGGGATCCGCCGATGAAAAGGGCTTGCAGGATTTAGGACGGTTTACCCCTAAACCCTAAACCCTAACAAACTCTAAACCCTAAACCTCAAACCCTAAACTCTAAACCCTAAACCCTAAGATTGAAGCTAAGGGTTTCGAGTTCCAAGCTGCAGCCCGTGCCAACTTCCGGTACCTCATTGTCCGAATTCCTGCCGGACCAAACTGGTAATGAGGGGCCACATCCTCTAACGCTACCCCTAAACTAAACCCTAATCCCTGAGCCACGGTTTACGGTTTAGGGTTTAGGGAATTAAAGGAAACTACAGGTGGCGAGTCCAGAGTATATCGGGCTTCTAGAAGGCTTCTATAAGGTATATAGACATTCTATAAGGCTCCTATAACGGTAACGACCCACCTGAAAATGTCATAGACTGAACCCTGAACCCAAAACCTTAAACCCTAAGCCCTAAAACCAAGATCACGCCATTCTGGATTATTTCATGTAGGAGCCTTAATGACCAAACGAGTTTCGGATATATTATACTGCCAGCATATTCGGACTATGTCAGAATACTCTGATACTCTCTTACTATGTATTCCGACTCCTACCTTCGTGGTCCAGCAAGATCAACTACGTTCTTGCACACCCCGGATCCGCAAAGAGCGAATTTGCAAAGCAAAGGTGCCTTTCCAAAATGAGGCATTCCATGGTCTACTGGGGTATAACACATCTCATGTAGACCAAACAGATCGTGTGGATATCTGCATACTGCATGTCATTCTGCAGGAATATGGTGCTGTCTACGACAGTGCCGGTTTGATATTCACTGGCTTTCCACCCTACCCCTAAACCCTAAACTCTACCCTCCCTCCAGAGGCCCTGTGTTAAAGCCGGCATCACTTCTGCGGCAGAGGCATTGAGGTTGCCTGGTTCTGTGCGGCCTTAGTGTCGGGTTGCTTAAGGGTTTAGAGGTTTAGGGGTTT